TGTGTGTGTCCACCCCTGGACAAAGGGTTTTCCACCGCTACTCCTTCCACGTTTTTCAACCACCTTTTTCAACCACCTTCTACAGGCAGGGGCACACGGCATCCATGACCTACCGTGTGCAACGAAGCTGCGGTCATGGATGGGAAGGGAAGGCTGATCACCTTCCTGTACCTGCTTTCAACACACTGACTCCAATGGTCCACCCTGCCGCTGCTTTGTTGATTTCATGGTTCTTCATGCCTCCACCCCCCAAACAGGTTTCTTTCAGCCGCTGAGCCGCCGACTTGCACAGCTTTGCAGCCGCGTCTTTCGAGTGTATTTGAAAACCATGTTCAACAATACTTTTCAGCGGACCTTGCCACCTTGCCGTTCTCTCACCTTCCTTCTCAACGTGGGAATTGAATCACTGAATACAAGTGTCAGAGTGTGGAAACCTTGGAGTCAGCGGTCACCGTTTGGTGTAAACTTGCAAGGGATGTTCAGGGGGGCCACCGGGGTCCCGGAAGAGCGGTGGCCAACGAAGACCTCCTCTGGGACCCGTGAAAACGTACCTGCAAAACTAAATGTATAGTAAACTCCTGAAAGATGGAATATTGTTTTGCGAATGACAAAGAGATGGAATAATCTCAGACACCCTGAGGGCAATAAAGAGATGGAATAATCAAGAAACAACCAATCAAGAGATGGAATAATCAAGACTCAAGACCGAAAATGAATCAAGAGAAGAATGAGAAAAGACCGACATGCTGCCGACTGCCGCAATCTTTTTTCCCTTACTGTTACCCCAATGATCAATGGTCGGTCAATCTTGACCCTGTGCAATGTGATGGGATTGTGGAGGCAAACCAACAAAAATCACAACAAACAAACCACGAGCGAGCATATTCTATCTCTTGCTGAAGGCAGTGCTTTGAAAGTCAAATTGCTACAGAATCAGGTTGCCCCCTCCATATCAGCAGAGGCAACCCCTGCTTCCATGCATGCTTTGTGCACGCGATCGCATTGCTTTCTGGCAAGGAATTTTGTGGAGGGAACCAAAATAAATAGTCATGCGGTATTAACAAAAAATATTTTATCTCTTACTGAGTGCTATTCTTCACAGTCAAATTGATACAAAATCAGGTCGCCCCCTCCATATCAGCAGAGGACATCCCTGCTTCCAAGCATGCTTTGTGCACGTGATCGCATTGCTTTCTGGCAATGGGCTTGTGGAGGGAAACCAAAAAAGAACAGTCTTGGGCCGGATGTTGGAAAATATTGTAATATTCCTAGAAATTGTTGATCATCTGCTCAAATGTCTCCCAATTCTATCTACATTCCTACATCCTCATGTTGATATATAACTTATAAACCGTACCGTACCAGTGTGGTATAAAACAGCAAGTTGATAGGTTTTAGGGCAGGGTTTCTCCTAGTTTCTCCTAGTGAACATATTCTATCTCTTACTGCTTCCTATTTTCAAAGTCAAATTGCTACTAATCAGGTCGCCCTCTCCATATCAGCAGAGCAAATCCCTGCTTCCATGCATGCTTTGTGCACGCGGTCGCATTGCTTCCTAGCAAAATGGTCGGCTGGGTTGAGCTTCACATGCTCTCCCAACATGAGCCTGAACACCAACAGGAGCGCCTGCTTCGGGCTCCGGCCTGAGGTGCCACCCCATGAGCGGCCAAAATACGTGGAATCTTGGCAATACGCGCGCCACACACGTGCCTGTGGGTGAACCCCGACAGTGGTGCCTGGCGGCCTCAAAGTGAGACCCTTGGCCTTCAATTCTTTGAATTCTTCCCTTTCCTCAGCAGTGTGAACGCGCTTGCGAGCACCATGCACGAGGTTTGCATCCTCATTCTCACTGTCCTCGCTACAGCAATGGAACTCAAACCCGTCCAAATCCACAGGGGATGCCTCTTCACACTCATCCACCTGCATGACGGCTTCACGCTCATCCAACTCATGCTCTTCCTCTACCTCGTCCTGGTCGTCATTGCAGCCTCAGGATCCAACATCTAGAAATATATATATATATATGTGTACCTAATATGGAAAAAGGACATATTCTATCTTTACCTATATATAAGTATTTTTGGAAAAATAGTTATATATATATATACTTTCCTTCTTTCTTTCACAGTTGTTGGAAGGCTTGATAAAAGAGCATCACCACCCAATGGAGCTAGTTTGTCTCAGCGGGTTTGAGAAAGGTATGATAAAAGGTACCATGCAGGTATGATGAAGGCCGGCAATGGTATGATAATCACAGAAGGATACGAGGTTAACGGCTGAAAGGGCAAAGAGTGGATTATTCCATCTGTTACAGTCGACAGCTCTGGAAAAGGAGCATCAAACAGAAAAAATGAGAAGCCAGAGTATATAGGAGAAGTGTTGTGCCAACAAGTGACAATCTTCTAGCATGTCATCCCCACTTTGATCAACCTCTGGTGGCAGATCTTTGGTGGGTGCCTGCACCTGCAGAAGTTTAAGCTGGAAGAAGGGCCCATTTCCAGATCGAATCTTTAAGTCAGTTGCTTCATGGCTCAGCTGCACTTCAAGGACCAAGCAGTGGCCACGCACTGATAAGAGGTTCTTCTTCTGGAAGTTTAGGATCTGGATTTTCTTCCGCTTATCCAGGATGATGCGCCTGCACCAAGTCTTCTTCCAGTCATCAAACTCCTCCTGTTGCTTTGGTGTGTAGAAGTTCTTGCCGTTCTGCTGACGCTTTGCCAAGCGAGACTCCCAAACACTGGCCTCCTTCTTCCAGATCAAAATTGTGCGGTTGATAGCTGGCTGAAACCAATCAGGCAACGGGATCGGATGGCTGCCGTCCTCTAAAGCTTGTATTGACCAGGCTGAAGCAAATTCGCCCTCCAAAAGCTCCTGTTGTGACTGCTTCACAGCTTCCTTGTCCGCAGACTCGAGGGCTGGCAATTCATCCAAAGAATACAATGCTTGCATGGCACCCTGCGTGTTCTCTAGTGACTGCTTTGCAGCTTCTAGATTTCCATCAAAGCGCCATTCAGCCAAATCTTCAAAGGATGTCATGCCTCGATGGATCCAAGCTTGAAGCACAAGCTTTCCTCCCTGGTACTTCTGAATCTGCTCGAGAGCCCACGCATCAGCATGGAGGCTTGTTTCAATATCCAGCCTGGTCGTCCAAAGAAACAGTCTTCAAAGCCAACTCCATGCACATATATATATATATATATTCAATATACATCTTTGCAGCAAATAGACAAATTATAGGGGAAACAACTTGGAAGTTAGCATAAGGAGACGAATGCCATTTACATCAGAGTTGCTTCCATCTGGGATCGCCATTGATACTCAAGTCCAGGTCTGCCAAACTCTTGCGAAGAAGTGGACAACTTCCCTGATTGATGGGTACGATCTGCGTAGGCCATGGAAAAACTGGTGCCACCCATCATTGGGTGCACCGCAAGCTCCCCAGCCTCCGGGGATGATAGGGAGAGACCCGTCATCCCCGGAATCACCGCACACCAGTAAGCAGTTATTTTGTTTCTGCCAGAGGTCTCTGCACTGTTTGAAGGTTGCGCAGGAATGCACGGCCGCGCGGTCCATCATGACCAACCCTTTGTCTTTCCAGGTCAAGTTGAGCTCCTTGCGACGATATCGGAGATCTTCACTCAAAAATGCCAAATATGACAGAATAGAAGAGTAGTGGAGTTCCACATATGGCTCCCAGAGTCCTTGGTTGAAAGGTAGCTGTAGAAGAATACATATATATACATATTACAACTACAATATATAGAAATAATTTATACATATCTATAACACTGCTTTATCCTCTTTATCCTTTATGGTCTTGGCTTCTCTATTCTCAACCGCGGTAACGGGTAAATTATTTCTCTTGCAGCTGTATGCGAGAGACCCAAGGTTCAATGATGGGAGTAGAAATATTGCTGGCATGCAGTCGAGGGTCTTGAACTGTCACAAGCATGTGTGCTCCAAGATCTTCATTCACCTTTTCCAGAGTCTTTTGGTCGATGGAACCACTCTTCATTGTGACATACGCTCTGCCCATCTGCGGGAGAATCTGGAATGGAGGTTTTAAAGTAAGCCATGAAACCTGTATGGTAAAGGTATGAAATGAATCATATTGAATGTATGATACAGGCTTAGTAATAGAAAAAGCACAATATAGTGAAGCTCTAAAGGAAAACTGTCCAGAAAGGCCATAATATTCTATCTCTTACAGGTGGAATGTCCTAGAAAGGGAGCTAGTTCAGCCAAGAAGTACATATATATATATATATATACATGTACGTTCACATATTTTTCAGCGGACCAGGCCTGACCATCTGCCCAGCTTAAAGTGGTCGTTGTACGGGGCTGGCGAGCCTGATCCACGGGCACCTGATGCCCTGCAGCA